TATTCCCGAAGTTTTGAACCAATAGTGGCCCTCAAGAACTTCAAAAGCAAAGCCTGCGATCACAGATGGTGGGTAAAGGAGCTCAGGTACAAAGACAGGGGACTTAGTAAGTGAATAGTGAAGAAAAAGCAGAGAAAACCGTCCCAAATGCCCTATATAGGACACTGCCGGCCACTGAAGGTGAGCATGGGCCTGAGAGATGCTCATGGGCCTAACGGTCAGCCCCCACTAAAACTCTTTTGAACTTCCCTTTTTTTAATGTACTACGGCCTCTTAACCGCCTATCGGATCTTTGACACATTTGTGAAATTATGGCCTTAGTTCATCACGAATGGTCCTTTAAAGGGGTTCTCGCGATTAAGTGGTCTCCTCCATGTATTTGACATCGTTGTACGCATTCGCAGAGAATATACCACTTTCGTCACTCGAAACGGCGAGATAAAGAAGCTAGAGACGCGTGATTATTGCAACCACGATTCATTTTCACTCTGCAAGACAACGGTTTACAAGCGGAATTACGTGGCGGAATTACGTGTGTACATAGCGTTGCCTGGAGCATCGTAGGGTGATTTCCTGTGCTCTTGCCGGAATTGGTTGCACGTCGAATCCTGCTGATTGGGCTTGCCGACGTCCGACAAACTCGTCCAAGGCGCCGGCTCCACTGCTAAGGGGGGGGGTCTCTGTTCAGAGTGTTCCCAAAGTTTTTTTTCGCTTCTTTCCCCACTGGAGGGTTAATTACGGGCTACTGGTTCATGACTGAGCACCTAATACTAACACTTGATAGCGGGAATTGTCTTCAAGCGTGGCTCAAGATCTGAGAGTGTTCTCTAAACTGTCATTTCCTATTTTTACAAGCGTTTCCGACATAGATTTTAGGAAATCAGGGGGAGGTTCGCATTTCAGAGCGAACCCCTGATTCAAGGAGCGCGATGATTTTCCCTGTCTCTAATGCCTCTGAGGACGACGATCTGGTCAAAATACTTCGCCATCAAAAACTATCCACCCAACAATCTCGTCAGCACTAAGGAAAAAAGAAAAACAGAAATCTGATCAAAAAGTAACAACACTGTCGAGGTTTCACGAAAAGAGTTTTCTCACGAAAATATCATGATCTTGTATACAACAATAGACAACAGAGAGGAACAGCGCCCCGACGGACTTGAAGATTGAACCCACCTCATGAATGTATTCTAGGCATGGCTTAGCCTTGCTCGAGTGGTAAAATAAAAAAAATTTACCCTTTCACTACCATTGAGGCAAACCCCGCGATTGTACATTGTGAAAGAAGGTGCACCCTATAGTTGCTGAATGGGTCTTCGCAGAAGGGAATAGCAGAAAAAAAATCATGGGAAACTTCTGAGATAAGGACCCGTTGCGGCCTCACTGTACGAGTTCTCCGGACTTGCTAGTTTTAGCCAGCAAAGCGACATCCTGAGGCCTCTGACTCACTCACTGATCCCTTCTTCGCGTCATTCAATGCTATTGCCGTCGAATTGTGAAAAAAAAAACGAAAAACACGGTTCAAGAAATGAACTCGCGACAGAAAGGAGCCTTTCAGCTTTGGTGGACGGGACAACTAGGGAGACGTAAGAACTGGCACTCATGAAGGCAGCAGCACTTTTCGTTACTTACTGCGAGGCCGCGAAAATGTGGCAGTCTTTGAGATTGAAGACCAGACCACTTGAACAAGGAACAAGGCCTATGAATTGTTCGAGCGTGGGGACTGTCTTTATGAGACACCTGAATTTCGTTCATGTCGAACGGGCAGGTTCGTGCTATAACAACAAATTCATATGTAGTGCTGATAGTGATCATTCGAATAAGATTTGCTATAGACGTTGTTTGGCTAGGGAGGGGCATTTTCCACTTTTGCCAGTACCATTTGCCACTTCTAACTAACTAACAGCGCTCACTTTGGCGGGGACCAGTGAACTCGTGTAAAGCAGCGAGATGATACAAGTGAGCCAGTTCGGCTACAAGAATGTACAGGCTACAATTTTCACAAAGCCTGTACAAGTTTCATAGAGCTCCATTCGGTGCCCCCACCAAGCGCATTGCGCCCTTCATAACTACGAGATTCAGAAGTATTTGAACATGTACGCAAAGGCAGATCGTTAGTGAACAAGCATTACAGGCATATAACACAAAGAGGCAGATCACGGAGGACCACATAAGTCTTCCGTTTTGACCCATTATTTTATTTCTTAATCAAATTTCGTTATGAAAAACACCCCTTAAAGACAAATCACATAAGAACAAAAACCGTGTCATACGATTTTCCCCGTTGCCAGTCACACTTAATACGAGGTCGATGACCGCAGCGAAATTGCAATTGCTGAAAACTGGAACAGATCGCAAATTAACTGCGTTCATACCAACTGCAAATCCGACAGAATGCACATATTAAATTTCCGCCGCTTATTGTTCGCCTGGCAATCTGTTGACGGATGAATATCGAATCAATAGAAAACTACACAATGCATAAACAAACCCCGGATGATTTGTGGTGTTCAGTACAACTAAGACAATGAAAATAAAATAAAATGGCTAAAATAAACACATAAAGTAATAAATTAACTAGAATAGAAATTGACCTGAATAAACACGTAAAATAATAAATCAAAATAAGTAAAATAAACAACCAAGAAAAGAGTAAACCAAAAAATTGCGGAGCTTCGATTCATGTTTGAAATCCTGGAGGTTCGCTTAATGTTCACTTCTTCCAAACAAAGTATCAACCTTTTCGTCTTCGCCAGAGGTCTGAAAATGGTGCAAAGCACTTGACAGCCATTTCCAGGTCTCTGACGAACGGAAGGGTCGCGAGTTCAGGCTAAACAGAGATCCCATCTAGGGTAGAGCACATCATTGGTTCAGGATTTTGGCCGAGTCCGTGCGACCCGACTCTAGGTGGTGGCTTGATACGACCCCCCCTGATTCCCTCATCTGATGTGATCGAGCGGTCGAGGAGCGAAAGAGGGGGAACGGCTAGTCTCCCACTTTCTTACAAGGGAAGGATACCAACTCGTCCTGGCCATTCAGAATGAGATGTATACTCCTAGAAGCGTCTTCGGACGCTGATATCAAATCTGGCTTCCAAATCTGCTAAACGATTCTGGGTGAAGAGTTACGGACCTTTTTTGCTACTGTGCTTAACCATTGCGGTGCGCCCCCCTGCTTATGCTTCGCGCTTGTAACCTTCGTGACCCACTACATCGTGGCTCTGTGGCACCGAGAGGTTTAATGGACACACAACCTATGGGACTCCACAGTCGTGCCATTGGTGTTCGGCTTTTCCTGATGCGTTTTTGTACGTTTTGCTTTTTTCTGAAACTCAATGACATGCAACACCACACGCGCAACGTCGCTCAACACTTGGGAAGTGTTTTGCATGCCTTCACCGCACCAAGACACCTCCGCTGCTGCTTATCCCTATGTCTGAATTTTGAGAGGGGTTTTTCATTTTGACTTCAGTGAAAGCATTCATTTTCATAGCGTTGGTATGGCAGCTTTATTTAACGCATATATTTATTATGCGCGTTTTCGCACTCGAACGCGTCTAGTTAGACGCGTTTGGCTCAGTTCACTTAAATCCAAGCATACTTGATTGGACTTGTATAAAATGAAGTCCATAAGTGGGCAATGGGTACAAGCGAACTACCTTCTCTATCGGGACCTTTACATCCCCAAAGTGACGTAGCTGTTCTTCTAGCTCCTAGGGAAACTTTCTTCATCGCCATCACACGTGATCAGAGAGGATCCGTATTGTCGTCCTCTACGCGAGCTATCTTCCTCACAGTCAATTTA